ATCCGCTTTCAGCCACAGCTGAACCCTGACATTGTGGCCCCGCTCCCCTCACACTCTGCCCATGAAGACTTCAGTGAGTTAAGGGTGAGAGGGAAGTGGGTTTTGACCAGGGTGTGAGATCTGACTAAAGTGGCAGCCTTCCCCACAGCATTTGGAGAGTCTCGGCCCGAGCTGGGCTCAGAGGGCCTGGGATCGGCCACTCAAGGCTCCCAGCCTGACCTCCGACGTATCGTGGAGTTGCCTGCACCAGCCGACTTCCTCAGTCTGAGCAGTGAGACCAAGCCCAAGCTGATGACACCTGACGCCTTCATGACGCCCAGCGCCTCCCTGCAGCAGGTGTGCTTGAGAGGAGTGGGCCTTGGGGAAGGTGGTACCTGGGGATGCCTTCCACAGCCACAGCCCTCATTCTCCATGTTTCCCCAGATCGCTGCATCTCCCAGTAGTAGCAGCAGCAGCAGCAGCAGCAGCAGCAGCAGCAGCTCCTCTCTCACAGCCGTGTCTGCCATGAGCAGTACTTCGGTCGTGGACCCCTCCTTGCCCAGGTGAAGTGAGGGGCAGAGTGAGGGGCAGGGGCTGGTGCCAGGTGACACTAGGCTCTGTCTACTTACACCTCATCCTCCTGCCACCAGGCCACCTGAGGAGCTGACCTTGAGCCCCAAGCTACAGCTGGATGGCGGTCTGACCATGAGCAGCAGCAGCCTGCAGGCAAGCCCACGTGGGCTCCTGCCCGGCCTGCTCCCAGGTCCGGCCGACAAACTGACTCCCAAAGGGCCTGGTCAGGTGTGTGTGTGGGTGTGTGAAGTGCAGGGTGGCAGGCGTATGGAGGGTGGGGAGGCTGGTGGTGATCTCCCAGTTTCCTGTGTGCTGGTCCTGCTCTGCCTCAGATAGCCCATGTTTCCCCTGAGGGTGTCTTAGCCTCCGGTGTCCCTGGAGAGCAGCCCCTCAGCCTCTCTTCCCCGCTCCTCTCCTGACTGTGACCATTTATGACTTGTGTCCCTGTCCTCCGTGCCCCATCTCGCATCACTGCACACACCAGTGCATCATCTCCATACTTGGTTAGCCCTACCTCCCACCATTTAAGTCTTATCTTGGCCCCCTCAGGTGCCTACTGCTGCCTCTGCACTCGCCCTGGAGCTGCAGGAAGTGGAACCCCTGGGGCTGCCTCAGGCTTCCCCCAGCCGCACCCGCTCCCCCGATGTTATCTCCTCAGCCTCCACTGCCTTGTCCCAGGACATCCCTGAGATCGCATCTGAGGCGCTGTCCCGTGGCTTTGGCGCCTCCGCTCCTGAGGGCCTAGAGCCAGACAGCATGGCCTCAGCAGCCTCGGCGCTCCACCTGTTGTCCCCAAGGCCCCGGCCAGGGCCTGAGCTTGGCCCCCAGCTTAGCCTGGATGGGGGCCCTGGGGATGGGGATCGGCATAGTACCCCTTCCCTCCTGGAGGCAGCCTTGACCCAGGAGGCCACGGCCCCTGACAGTCAGGTCTGGCCTACAGCCCCAGACATCACTCGCGAGACCTGCAGCAGCCTGGCCGAGAGGTGAGGAGCCTGGAGGGTAGGCGGGGGGAGTGTGCCAATGGTAGGGGCTTCAGGTAGAGTCATCCACCACTGACTTGGCCTGGCCCTCCCTAGCCCCCGGAATGGCCTCCAGGAAAAGCACAAGAGCCTGGCCTTCCACCGACCACCTTACCACCTGTTGCAGCAACACGACAGCCAGGACGCCAGCGCCGAGCAAAGGTAGGCGTCACCCTGCACCTTTCCTCTCCCAGGAGGGCTAGCCAGTGGGCAAGTGCCTATCTCTCTCCTTCCTCTCCCCCCCAGTGACCATGATGACGAGGTGGCCAGCCTCGCCTCTGCCGCAGGGAATTTTGGCACCAAAGTGCCCACTCCACGTCTTCCAGCCAAGGACTGGAAGACCAAGGGATCTCCTCGGGCCTCACCCAAGCTCAAGAGAAAGGGCAAAAAGGATGACGGGTAGGGGGGGCCCCAGGGCCAGGGAGGGGGTGGTCTTCAGGCTGCCTGCGTGACGTGGCCTGAGGTGCTTCTCACCTATGGCAGGGATTCTTCCTTGGGATCCCGGCTCACAGAGCACCAGGTGAGTGAGCAGAGAGTCCCTTTCTGCTTCTGGGACTCCTGCCTGTGGGGGTGGAGGTGGGGTGGCCAGACCGTCCCCTGGTCTGATGTGGGGGATGGGCAGGGCAGGCATCAGGTGACTTTTGGTGTTACTGGCAGGTGGCAGAAACCCCTGAGAACTGGCCGGCACTGATCTGGCAGCAGCAGAGAGAGCTGGCACAGCTGCGGCACAGCCAAGAAGAGCTGCTGCAGCGCCTGTGTGCCCAGCTTGAAGGCCTGCAGAGCACTGTCACAGGCCACGTGGAGAGAGCCCTGGAGTCGAGGCACGAGCAGGAGCGTATCCTTGGGGGCAGGGCCACAGCCGGGCGGAGGGCAGGGAGGCAGCCGTGTTCTCAGCCCAGGACGGTGTGTGGGACCTCCTCCAGGTCTGTTCCTTAGCAACAGCACAGAGCGGCGACTGGAGCGGGCCCTGGCCGAGGGGCAGCAGCGGGGTGGGCAGCTGCAGGAGCAGCTGACGCAGCAGCTATCCCAGGCACTGTCTTCAGCGGTAGCAGGGCGGCTGGAGCGCAGCATACGGGATGAGATCAAGAAGACAGTTCCTCCGTGTGAGTTTCACATGGAGACTTCTGGGCGGACCAGATTCGAAGGGCCCCCTCCCTGTCAAACCTCCCTCCTTCTCATGTCCCAGGTGTCTCCCGGAGTCTAGAGCCCGTGGCTGGCCAGCTCAGCAACTCGGTGGCCACCAAACTCACAGCTGTGGAGAGTAGCATGAAAGAGAACATCTCTAAGCTGCTCAAGTCCAAGGTGCTGTAGGGCCTAAGATGAGGGAAGTGAGTGGTGGGCATGAGCTCAAGACTCAACTTAGTCCCTCCTCTACCCCTAGAACTTGACAGATGCCATTGCCCGAGCAGCCGCAGACACGTTACAGGGGCCAATGCAGGCCGCCTACCGGGAAGCCTTCCAGAGCGTGGTCCTGCCCGCCTTCGAGAAGAGCTGCCAGGCCATGTTCCAGCAGATCAATGACAGCTTCCGACTGGGCACACAGGAGTGTGAGTGAGGTCTTCTGCCTCAGGGAGGGAGAGGCCATCCTCTTCTCATTGTCCCTCTCACGGCTCCCATGGTCACTTTTCAGACTTGCAGCAGTTGGAGAGCCACATGAAGAGCCGTAAGGCACGAGAGCAGGAGGCACGGGAGCCTGTTCTGGCCCAGCTGCGGGGCCTGGTCAGCACCTTGCAGGGGGCCACGGAGCAGATGGCAGCCACTGTATCTGGCAGCGTTCGGGCTGAGGTGCAGCACCAGCTGCACGTGGCCGTGGGCAGGTGGGTGGCCTGGGCATGGAGCTAGCTGGTGGGTGTGGAAAGGGCCAGACTCGACCACATATTGACCCTCACTTGCCTCGCAGCCTGCAGGAGGCGATTCTAGCACAGGTACAGCGCATTGTGAAGGGCGAGGTGAGTGTGGCTCTCAAGGAGCAGCAGGCCGCCGTCACCTCTAGCATCATGCAGGCCATGCGCTCAGCCGCTGGCACACCTGTCCCTGCTGCCCACCTCGACTGCCAAGCCCAGCAAGCCCATATCCTACAGCTGCTGCAGCAGGGCCACCTCAATCAGGCCTTCCAGCAGGTAAGCCAGGCACTGGGCCCAGGTAGAGGCCAGTGTCTCCTGACAAGAGCCACATTCCCTGTCAGACTTCGGGTGGTCTGGCAGCAGACTTTCTTTGGTTCTCTTTGCCTCCAGGCCATTTCCCTTGCTTTTCCCTCTGCCTGGTCCCTGCATCCCTTTCTTTCTACCTCAGTCCACCTTGCTTTGTCACCACCTTTCTCAGAAATCCTGATCCCCTAGAGTAACAGCAGCCCTTCAGTGCTCTCTCTGGGCCCCTGAGCAACTCCCTCAGGATGCCCTACTCCACAGCCATCCTCTCCCAGGCCACATAGCCAGACAAGCAGGCATTCCATCTTGACATCAGCTATAAACTCTGTTCTCTGCTCAGGCCCTGACAGCTGCCGACCTGAATCTGGTGCTATACGTGTGTGAAACAGTGGACCCAGGCCAGGTTTTTGGGCAGCCACCTTGCCCCCTCTCCCAGCCTGTACTCCTTTCTCTCATCCAGCAACTGGCCTCTGATCTTGGCACTCGAACTGACCTCAAGCTCAGGTGAGTGGGAGTAGTTGGGGACTAGAGCTGGGGTGAAGGGGGGTGAGTACTTCAAAGCAGAGACTCCCACTCCTACCTCACTCCCCTCCCCCGTGTTCTCCACCAGTCCCCTCTGCCCCCACCCATCTCAGGCTTTGAGACCTCCATTGTCAGCAGCCCCTCTGGTCCTCATTGCCACCAGGGGGCGTTCTCCTCTGCTGGAGGCCACCTATAGCCAGTCTTTTTCCTCCATCCCCAGCTACCTGGAAGAGGCTGTAATGCACCTGGACCACAGTGACCCCATCACTCGGGACCACATGGGCTCCGTCATGGCTCAGGTGCGCCAGAAGCTCTTCCAGTTCCTGCAAGCAGAGCCACACAACTCACTTGGCAAAGCGGCCCGGCGTCTCAGCCTCATGCTGCATGGCCTTATGACCCCCAGCCTCCCTTAGCTAAGCCTCCTTTGTCCAGGGTGAGGTGGCACTGAAGTCCAACAGACAGGCTTAGGCCAAAGTAGGGTCATGCCTGCCTGTTACCTGCTCAGGCGCCCACCTTTGGAGAGTTTTACGGGGATAGCACTGGCTGTGGTCTACAGGGTGTGGTAGCCAGCAGGTGTAGGCTGGGCCCAGGGTGGGTATTGTGCCTTCTTGGGTTCTGTCATGCCTGGAGCATAACCCCCGAGATTATGACACCACTTAAGTTGAATTTTCCATGTTCCTTTTTACCTCCGATTTGGGTCTTTTTGTTTTTGAAAAAACATTAAGAAATTCAAGTAAATGCTTTTGGAATAAAATGGAGTATGTGTGTGCTTTTCATGTGTCTTTGGTGTGACTTTGATAACTGCACTCTCTTAACCTGCCCCCTCTCTTCTCCCTGTGCGGAGCTCTGTCTAGGCCAACCCATCCCACGGGGCCTGGACACCACCCTCATCTGCCCAGCTACTATCCCAGATCTCTCCATCTCCGAGGCAAGGGCGCCCCAGCGTCAGCTCAGCTCCCCACTATGCTCCTGGGTTCTCCTCTCTGGAGTCCCTCCCTCCTCTTTTGCCTATTGGAACTGGGGTGGGGCTTCTGGGTGGCTGAGCCCCGCCCCTCATCCAATCACAGTGCCTCTTCCCGGAGGCTGGGCCGAAGGGCTGCCCTCCAAGCTGCTAGCCCTGTTAGTAGGCTCCCAGCTGGGGATGATGCGCTGCTGCTGCTGCTGCTGTCACCACCGGCAACAGCCCTATGCACTGGGGCTGTTGCTGTTGCTGCTGCTGCCGCCCCTCGGTGAGTGCCCAGGCCCAGACTATCCACACACCCTCTCCACAGGCTGGGTATAGGTTGTGTGGGAGCTGAGGCACAGCCTTCCTGAGTGCCGAGAGCCAGGGTGGAGAGGTGAAAGGGCTCCAGAGAGGGAAGAATGTGATCCAGTGACTGAAAGATGTAAAGTGAGGGTTGTGAACTGAACCGTAGTTTCAGAGGGAAGAACCCCCAAATTCCACAGTCTGATAAGCAGAAGCTTGACCTCTTGCAGGACTCCCAGACTAAACCCAGGATCTCTGAGGTCTTCTCCTAGGGTCAGGCCTGGATCTCAACCCCCTCTATCCTGACCCATTGGGAAACACCTGTGTTCAGGGAGGTGTCTAGGCTGCAGAGAAACTGGCCTTTGCCATGGGCCCCGTCCCCCTTACCCATGTCCATGCTCCTTCAATTGGACAGTTCTCACCTGACCTGGGGCCCAGAACTCGGAGAAAGCCAACTCCTGGGGTGAGATTTCTTCCCCCACGCCCACCTATCCTGTCTGGGTCCTCCTAGAAGGGGGTGGAGGCAGGTGGTCCCCAGGTGTGCCCCTTGGTTCCCTAGGGTTCCCCTTTCAAGCTGAGTCACGTCCCCAGAAAGCTCCCTGGTAAACAAGCCTCTGGGAGTCGGGGGGTTGAGGGTGCACTGCCTCATCCTATCAATTAGTCTCCACCCCCACCCGCAGTCCCTGTATCTCCCCTGGCAGCAGCTGCAGCGGGCCCAGGCCGCTGTGACACCATATACCAGGGCTTTGCTGAGTGTCTCATCCGCTTGGGAGACGGCATGGGCCACGGAGGCGAACTGGAGACCGTCTGCAGGTATGGGCAGGTGCGCGGGCAACACCACCCTTGGGATCTGAACCTTTTCCCTCCCATCCCAAAGCCCCCCTGCCCCACCTAATTCCCCTAACCCCATACCCTTAACAGGTCTTGGAATGACTTCCACACCTGTGCCTCACGAGTCCTATTGGGCTGCCCGGAGGAGGCAGCTGCCGTGTGGGAGTCACTACAGCAAGAAGCTCGCCGGGCCCCACACCCAGATAACTTGCACACTCTCTGTGGCACCCCTGTGCGCCTTCAGGAGCGTGGCGTGGGCCCAGAGACCAACCAGGAAACCCTGCGGGCGACAGCACCGGCGCCCACCCCGGCCCCCACGCCCCCGCTGCTGGCAGCTGCTCTGGCGCTGGCCTGCCTCCTGGGGCCCCTGGCCTAGCCAGTCCAGTTGGGTAGTGGCGCCCCCACCTCCAGCCCTGCTCTGGTGGCTGCCGTCGGCCTCCTCAGAGCACACTTGGCTTTCATTAAAGGTATTTATATTTGTACTAAGTTCCTTCCTTTCTTTCTGCTGAGGCCCACTTGGCTGGGGTTGAGGCCTCCAGAAACTGATCCCCAAGATAACATGGGCGGAGCCGAAGGCTGCCACAGGGGACTCAGTCTTTTTCCTCACAAACACTCATTTCCCAGGGGTAGGGCAGAGCTTTCCACTGCCAGCAGGTTCCAAGAGCTCTGTCCGGGAATGTCTCTCTCTCTGTTCTCCCAGGCTGGCACTCCTACCTTCCTGCCTCTCCTGTCCTGGCCTGTAGGGGCCTTGTGAGGTGGTGGAGCATCCCCATCCCCCCCCCCCCC